GAATGCTTGGTTATTTTTGAGGTTCAGACAATGTTCACATGTGAATTTAGACATATTCTGGAATGGTATTTCTTTCGTCTTGACCCATCATGATCAGAGAGTGGTATTTTCTGATGTTGATGTTCTGAGAAATTGTTTATGTCTAAGTGGAGACTATCAGGGCCTACCTGTGAAAGCCAGGCCAACTCCTAGCCTCACGAGACCTGACTAGTAGTACCAGAACAGGTTCTGGATATTGGGGCTGATTTTCTCTTTCTAATTAGTCCTTAATATCTTCACACTATACTCTTCTATGTCTTGTTTTATAGGCCTCCAGTTCCTCATGGAATCTACTCCATATTGTGACTGCTTGTAATTTGCATAGCCTTTAACCTGTGAAGAACTGGGCCTCCAGCCCAGGTGAACCTATCTATATACAAGCCACTAGCTCTTCTATTTATTTAAATTTTTTCTATTCTGGTTGATGGTTTTCCACAGAGGAACATTGATTGCAAGGCAAAGAATTTAGTAGTAAGAGCATTCACTAGGTTTTAAGGGTTGGGCTTAAGTTCTGGCGATGAAACTTGGTCTGACCAGTCTAAAACCCCCAAGTTCCAATTTCTTCATCAATGTAAAAAAACCTTAATAAATGTCCCTTTCAGGGTTGCCTACACAATTAAACTAAGGTTTTAAAAGTGACTGAGGAAGAGCTAGTTTTCAACAAATGATAGTTATTGATAGAAGAATAGAAATAGGAGCCAGCAGGTGGCATGATAGTTAAGGTGCTGGATTTCCACTTGGTTGACTCAGTAGACCCAGCCCTGCAGCTTGAAAATCACACCAGGTGGATGTGCCTGCATGCCCTAAATCTCAACAGAAGAATGGAAGAGAAGGGATTGTATCATGGCCATCTCCCTAGGGGGTGATTTCTCTCTTTCCGTCTCTGTCTCTCCAGCAAGCACATGTGTCCTATGGGAGAGAGAAAAAAATAATTGAAATAGGTTTAACAGTTACTGGTATCTTACACATTGTCTTTAAATTCCCTGTTTTGTCCCTACCTCATTTATATCCCATTTTCCCCCCTTAACGAAAGATACAATTCAATTACAACCATATATTCTGAGCAACACTTAGCTTTCATTGGTAATAATCACTTAACTTGTTGAAGCATGGAAGGAATTTTGACTTAGAATCCAATGACTTGTACTTGACTTCTGTCATCAACATTTTGAAATATGTAACTTGCAGCAATTTATTTGACCTTCTAAGCTCTCATCTATAAACCATACGTGAGAGATTTGGTGTTTGGAGAGAGTGTTGGGAAGATTATATAGAGAAATATTTTTAATTTATAAGATATTTTACATATCGTAAAGCTTTTTATAGACTTTGAGGTGGTGCTATCATTAGGCTATTATGCATATATTATGTGTACTATTTCTTAAACTTATTTACAATTCTAGAATGGAAAAACGAAGAAGGAACCGAAATTTTTTTCCGAGGTGGTTGTGCTCACACCTTCGAGCCAAATTCAACAAAGCTTAGCTTAACTAAGCTGCCTTCTTTTCTTGGGCTACAAGTCAAGAATGTCATCAAATAATGGTGACCAACTTGAAATACTGCTGTTCTAGAACACTGATCTGCTGAGATCTATGCAGAAAGAGAAAGACAGGACTGCAAAAATTATTTCCTTGTTGACAAGCCATAAAATATGACACTACCTAAGAAAATACATCCCTCTTCCCACCAAGAAAAATAAATAGAATCTAATTTCCCTATTGGGAAGAAATAGAGAAAGTTTACCAGTGTATTTTCATTCTCCAGGAGGCAGAAAGAAGCTTATTTTCTCTGAAAGCCTACTCTGTGCTTGACTGGACATTAATTCTTCACAGGATCCCTGAACTTGAACGTCTCTGTTCTAGACAAGTGGAATCAAGCTCAGAATGATTTTACTATTTACCTCAAGTAGTAAATGGCAGAGTCAAACTGAAGGGGATCCATTAGATTTGAGTATGTTAGACTTTGTTTTCCTTGTTGCTGTACCTACTGTGGATGGAGGGTTGGGGGGAACCTAATGAATGAATTTTCTATTATCCACATTCCAGGATAAAACTAATGTGCCTGTGAGGATGAGGAAGAAAGTATAGAATTTCAGGATGAAGGAACCGTAGAAAGCCCATGTAAGAAATCCCATCATTCATCTGATGAGTGGGTCCTTCTATGGCTGCTGGTTCAGGCCCTTGTGACAGGGAAGGTTATAAACTTCTTCTATGTACTGCACTAAATCTGTAGGCCTGTGTCTTTCAACTGTTTCAACCTAATTGCACCTCTTCTTTGAGATAGAGAATCCCTCTCTCCTGTGACACATCATGTCTGACCTAGGTCTTTTTGCCAGTATTTTCAACTCTTTCTCAAAAGGTAAGATATATGAACCCTTCCCCTTTGGTTTTCCTGTCAACCTTTTCTCTATGCACCAAAATCTTTTCAGGCCTAACTATTCTGAATTCCTTACAACACCTGTTGGTGACAGTAAATCTGTCAATGCAGTGGGCTGTTCACCCAACTTCCTCTTAAGATGTACTGAACAATTCACAAATATGATGGCATTGTAACATGACAACCAGAAAGTTTTGATCTGCATAGAATTTAGCAAGTCTTACTTAAGTTGAATAATTATAGCCTTATTTTATTTATTTAATACCAGAGATTCAAATGCTTTGTTGATACCTTATATCAAATGATATGCAAATGTATTCTCCTTCTAAAATATTAAGATATAATCCTCTCTTTTCTCAGAGGGATATTTAGTTTGATATGGACCTTTTGGGGCATTTTCTTAAGTGTATGTAGATATCTGTACGCACATAGAGGAAAATACACTTTGATCTTGTGTTTCAGAAGATAAATTATGCTACATTCATATTGGACAAACTAGGCTATAATTAAAATGAATGAAGTAGACTTCTAAGTACTGAAATAGAAAAGTCTTTAAGCTGTGTAGTTGAGGAGTAAAAGCAAGCTGCAGAATCATACACGTCATAAGATTGTACTGCCTTCATTTTTCTAACTGTGGATTTCTAAACCTAAATCAGAGTTTAGTCAGGATTAGTCTAACTGTTGAAAGGCACCATGACAGGTCTGTCTCATAGCCTAGTGGTTAAGGGAGCTAGATCCCACATGACTGATGACACAGTTCAAATCCTAGCCTCACCAGCTTGAAAAACACCAAGCACATGTCCATGCATGTCCCAAATTCCTCCAAGATAGAGAAACGGAGGAGACAGAATTGCAACATGACCATGTCCAAGGCGGGGAGTGGGGGCAGGGAATGCTTTCTCAATCTCCCTCTCTCTCATTGTCTCTCTGTCTCTCTGGCAAGTGTATGCCCCTTCTGGCAATTTTAAATGAATAAATTTTAAAGATACTGTGGCTTTCAAATGGTAAAATCTCAAACAATACCTTATAGTAATAGATATACCAGTATATATGATGCATACAGAATACATCTATAGCTTATAAAACTCCTGCTCCTTTCCTTATTTATTATAACCTTGGCCAAGGCACACCATTCCTTTGTTCAAAAAATGTTTAACATTTAGTTTTTACTATTTCCAGAAGATATAAAGAATATAAAGAAGTAGCCTCTAATCTTTGAAGGGAAAAGTAACTACACAAAATGTAGTCACCGAAGAGGTGAAGATTCGATAGAGCATGGAAGAATGGGAAAAATTTAGATACACCATAGAAGGAAGAGGCTGAGGGAGGAAGTATTAGGTTGTCGGTAAAGTCATGACGTATTTTTCTGTACAAAAATGCATCATGACTTTCCTGACGAACCAATACTATGCTGGAAAATGGATATAAGTAATATTAGATGAATTCATAGAGTACCTCCTAACAATGGGAGAAGGGTGGGAAGGTGGGGTGGTAGTAACTAACATTTCTTAAATGTTGACTATGTTCAAGGCTCCTCCTATGTCCCCTAAGCTCTTCTACAGCACGTGTTGTCTCAACATTCATAGCTTCCTAATAAGGTAAGTAATAGCATCATTATTTTATAAATGAAGAGATTGAGTTAACCCAATTACACACACCTGGTAAGTAATAGTGAAGAGGTGAACCTAAAGTCATTCCAGGGTTCATGCAGTTCCCCCTCCTCACACTGTGTCCCTGACAGTCACCTCCCCAAAGGGAAGGGATCCTGTAAGTGGGGCATGGGGACAACTTGGACTATCAGATTGAAACTGGGTTATGGATTGCCTTAAATATCAAGGAACTTGAGAATGATTTAAAGAACACATTAAATGATAAGGAATTTAAATTATCATCTGGGGAATAACTTGATAAAAGTAACCTTCCAAGAAAAATAGTTTAGGGACCAGCAGATGGCGTAGTGGTTATGTTGCTGGACTCCCACTTAGTTGACCATGGTTCGAATCCCAGACCAGTGGGTTAAAAATCATACCAGATTCACATGCATGCTTGCCAAAAATCCCTAGAGGAAAATGAAGGAGAAGGGATTGTGGCATGGCCATCCCCCCCCCGAGAGGGTGATTTCTCACCTCCCATCTCTGTCTCTCTGGTGAGCACACATGCCCTATAGCAAAGATCCCTCTCAAAAACAAGGGGAATAAAAAGATAAAATAATATGGGAGTGCTACATAGAATAGACTAGAATAGTGAGAAAATAGAGGCTGGAGACTGGACGGAAAGCTATTCTTCCAATAGGTTACAATAGGTAAAGGAACAATGGGCAGCCTTCGCCGCTCACTAGCAGCTGCACTGGCAGCATTCACTAGGCCTAGAATCAGTGTTCCCTCGGGGTGTGCAATATTTCACCTGGCATGACGAATGAAAACCAAATACATTTAGAATGGGAAGGACATATATGTAGATGAAGGCAGCTGATGAACTCTTATGCAACCTACTTTTTATAAGTGGGCAAATAAAGGAAGAAAGCCTCAATCATAAAAGGAAGGGCAACTCTAGTCAGTTAGCTTTTCTAAGCTCAGGATTTGAAAATGAACGCTCTTTTCCCACTGAGTTTTCTGTTTTTGATGAGTTCTTCAGGATGGGCAAAAGAAAGGCATTACTACATAGCCATCAAAGAAACCTCTTGGAATTATGCTCCTTCTGGTAAAAACGTGCTCAGTGGAAAGCCTTTGTCAGAAGATCCGTAAGTAATGACTCTGCATTTAAAAAGTTACTATCAGAAGCAAAATTAGTCATTTTTAGTTGTTGGTAAAAAGCCAATGCAGAGTTTCTCATGACTGACACTTTAAAGGCATATATGTGAGGACTTCAAAAAGTTCATGGAAAATGTACTTCAAGGATGAGTTCTATTTTGGTGCAAAATTATTTTTGAGGGCCAGCAGGTGGCGCTGGATCCCACGTGGCTGACTGTGTGATTCAAGTACCAGACACAGTGGCTTGAAAATCATGCCAGGTTTGTGTGTGCACATGCCCAAAATCCAGAGAGAAGACCGGAGGAGAAGATTGTGGAGCAGCCATCCCCCAGAGGGGTGATTTCTCACTTTCCTTCTCTCTTTCTCTGCCAAGCACAAGTAATATCTATCGATAGAGATATATATTTGAAACCCATGCATAGATCTATAGACAGATATAGATTTGAAACCCATGCATAGATCTATAGGTAGAGATTTGAAATTCATGCATCATTTTTCCAAAATACTTGTTTTCCATGAAATTTTGAAGACCCCTCTTATATGTCATTAGAACTACTTCATTTGCTTACTTGCTTAGGATATGCATGATATGGGAGACAGATATTAATAAGAAATTATCCTTTCCCAAGATTACTGGCACTGAGCATCTCTGATCCTGTGTATATCACTGATAATGCTTACATGATACTCAAGGTGTAAAATAACACTTTCCCTTCTGTCTGAGTGGAGCCATATTCTTGATTTTTTTTTCCAGATAATTAGGAGCAGTGGACACAGAGATTATGAGTGCAGTTCTGATTTATTATAGTTTTTGACTGAAACACTCCAACGCTACAACAGATCCACAAACCCATTTAAGTGTATAAACGATCTTAAATCATGGAAAGTGATCTAATGCTTGAGAATTAAAGTAATCTTAGAGTGAGGTTACAAACCTGTATGTTGTTCAGTTCAGAGTTCTGTATGTTTTTTAAATTAAAAATGTCACAGATAATGCTTGCTCCATTTGCATTTGATCTTTTCATCCAATATTTCAACATTCTTCTTGTCTACACCTTCTGTGACTCTCTTCTCACATCCTCCAGCATCTGGGCTTTGTCAGTCAAAATCATGCTATAAAGCTTCTTACTACCAGTTTTCATTGATTTAAGACTTTTTTTTCTTTCCAGTCAAAATTGGTTCAAGTGTTCTCTTTCTTTGTTTATTTTTTCCAGAATGTTTCAGTCCCAAATAGGTCAATTTAGGAAGAAGCCAGTTTTCAAAAAGGCTTTGTATTTTCAGTATACCGATGATACATTCCAACAGGTCATTCCAAAACCATCTTGGTTAGGACTTTTAGGTCCAGTAATTAAAGCAGAGACTGGAGACTGTGTGTATGTACATGTAAAAAATAATGCTTCAAGAGTCTACAGTTGGCACCCTCATGGACTCAGTTACACGAAAGAAAATGAAGGTAAGCGATCCCCTTTCCTTACATTCCTGAGTTCCTACTCATGGAGTGTATGAGCACAATGCCTCAGGAAAAGCAAGGTAATCATGAATTGGTCATCTTAATGAGATAGGGCCAGTCTGGAGTGACTACAGACTCTTACTTCTGATGCCTTTAATGTTTATGCCCAAGATGGTCCTTTCCAACTTTTCATCTTGAATGAGTGGCAGCCCTTGTGCAATTCCTAGGAAAGAAAATACATGTCTCCCTCACTGTTGAAGATACGCTTGTGCTAAGTGTCAGGTTGGCAGAAATCCTGTTCTGCCCCCATCTCATTTCTGTTGCCTCATAGATAAATAATACTCTCTTAGAAAACATCTGTGTAAAAAAAAAATGATAATAATCACCACTTTCCAGACAGAACATTCCCTTCTACACATCTATAGTCACAGCTACAAGACAGGGTTAGAAAAGTTGGCATAAATCTTTTAAAAACTTTGTTAGTCCAAGTGGCATCTATAGGATGAGTACTATCTCTAAGTACCATCTATAGGATGGGTGGTCCTTCCAATAAACGCTCTATGAAAATACAGGACACTGGAAATTCCATTCTGCATTATAATAGTTTTGCCATGTCACACGATCGTTTTGCAATGATCATATTTCATAAAACGCTATATATCATAAACATATCATCAAATAAGGATTAACAAAAGTTTGTTTTTGCAATTTTAAAATCAACATTCAAGACTTAGATTGAGATTTAATGATTCTCTTGCAGCATGAGAAGGAAGTTAGAAACCAGCCCTGAATTAATCCTCTGGATTGAGACAGACTCAGGAGAAATTGGACCAGGTCCAAAGGTAGCTCCTGATGAGCAGTAGGACAGGGAAACCATACAGAAACCACTCAGTCACGTGTCAGTAAATTTTTTCATGTTCTTATGGAGCAAGGGAGTCCCAAAGTAAAGATAGAAAACATGGATAGAGACTAGAAGGTCGCTCATACTTCTAAATCTTTTATTGAATGAAGGAATTTTATCCATAGTTGTAGGCTCCCAGCCACAAGTGGTAGGGTTCTAAGGCAAAACGCTAGCCAGAGAAGAAAGGAGAGTGAATTCCCAAACCGCGGTAATGCATGGTTCAAAGTAATCCAAGCCATGCAGAGCGCCACCTACAGACTGCAGTGTGCCACTTGGAGGTAACATGGATGTTTCTTGATGCCCTGCTCTAAATCTGACTGGCCATGAAGAAAATATGGATGGCAACTCATGAGTCCAGAGGTCACCTCTGTATCTGAGATCTGGGCACATAGGAAATACAAAATAAATATGTTTTGAATCCATCATTCCATGGATACACTGCCTGCCTCATTCTAATTTAGTTTAGAAACTGTGACCCAGCTGAGCCTTCTGGTGGAATCCAACTAACAGGGGTTTTGGGACACTGGAGGCAGGGTGGAGGGGAAAAGAAACGTAGACTTTGTATAAAAAAATACAAATTAATGCACATCTATGGGTTAATGAAGAAAGTTATGAGTCACATTTCAAATACTGTAACTACAGTGCTGAATATGTCTTCTAGGTGCTCTGTACCCTGATAATACCACGGGCCTGCAAAGGGTGGATGACCACATTAAGCCAGGGAAACAGTATACTTACAGGTGGTATGTAGACGAAAATCAGGGGCCTGCCTCCAATGACAGTAACTGCGTGACAAGGATGTACCACTCCCATGTAGACACTGTAAATGATGTGTCTTCAGGACTTATTGGACCAATAGAAACTTGCAAAAGAGGTAAACTATTTTTAAAATCTCATTGTAGTAACAGAAGCAACCAAAGTGCATGGGTTTTTCCCTAGAGGAATTTTGCTGTCAGAGGAGCTCTGTTTTCCTGTCTTGATCTTGATTCTCTTTGTAGTCAAAAATGTAACTTGCGTCTTGGCACTAGATGGCGATCCTAAATCCAACCCACAGTTCAATAATGCAGGTTGGTCACTAGATGGTAGTCAAACTCGGAGAACTTCACTTTAGCCATCTTCACACAATCACTGCCTCCTTTCCCTCTGACGGAGGGCTGAATCAGGGTGGGAGGGTGGCTGCAAGGCAGTCTGTCTGATCTTTGCAAGTTGCTTTCCTTGACATCTGTGTCTTGCAGGATTCTCTTCGTATGCTCATGTTTTAAGATGAGTCCTTAAGAAACCTCAATTTATGTTATAGCAAAAATCAGTCTTACAAGCAGGAAGATTTACTGATCAGTTTCTAGTGTGCAAGGAAATACCATTTTTGTACTCTGATTTGGTTTGTTTGAACACGATCTCTAAGGTGACAGCACTAGATTAATTATAAAGTTAATTAGCAAATTTAAGTTCCTACTGTAATTGAAATGTAAAACTTTAAGTCAACAAACAGCTCCCTGTCAAAAATATTTTAACAATGATCATTTCCTATAGCACACGCAGGTAGTCCCAAGGTCACAAAGTACATTCCTTGGCGGTAACTATTTGACCAACTTTTGAAGAGCTCTTTACCCTTCTCAAACTTGCAAGGAGCTCGACTGCATGATCGTGAGATACAGAGCGAGGGTCTACACTTTGGCATATTTAGTCTGATTATTTCCAAACTTTCTCCCGGGATAACAATACTTTGTATTCTCAAAGGCACGTATGTGAACTGTCATCAGGAATTTCTCATTTACTATGATTCTGACTTATGCCCTGAGGTTTCAAATGTAAGGCTGATATGAAATATTTGAGGCTGATAATAATTGTATAGAATATGATGTTTTACATCTATTATATAGATCACATTATGTTGTATTTATGTTCATTTTATTTCCACTGTGCTAGACACTTTTTTCTTTCATTCAATCCAAGCTCACAGAGTGATCTTACCTATCCCAGGCAATTTGCTTCCATCTAAATGCATTGTGTAAACTCTATCATGTCAGTTCAAACTCATTTACTGATAAGGAGGCTTGGCAGCTTAGTGTCTCCATGTGGGTGTGCTGCTGGTGCCTCAATCTCATCATGTTCCAAAACAGAAATCTCTTGCTGCCCTGAATCTCTCCCTTCCATCTGGGTTGCCACAGGGGATGGCCCCATCATCTCCCATGTGGATATTATTATTATACTTCCTTCTCCCTCATCCCCTACTGACCACGTCCCATCAATCAGGTCCTGCCAGTTCTACTTCCTAGGCATTGCCAGATCAGCTCACTTCTCTCCAGCTCCACGAACCCTAATCTAGTTCAGGCCACCCCCATCTTTTTGCCAAAATGCCTGCAACAGTCTTGAATCTATGCCATCAGCCTCTAGAGCTTCATCTTTTAGTTCATCTCCACTCAGCTTTCTGTCTTCGGGGGTGAGGGGAGAGGTTAATTCTGAGAGGCCAACCTGGCCCTGTCAGTCCTTTGCTTACAAGCTTTCAATGGCTGCCGATTGTTCTTACCATAAGCACATCCTCTTTTTCTGTTCATTGCTACCTGGAAACTTCTCTTTAGACATAGCCTAGCAAACTCCTACTCATCTTTTCCATATCAACCAAGGTGCCGTTGCCTACAGGAAACCTTTCCACACCTAAGATTCACTTAGCTGACTCCCTGGCACTCTGCCCCTTCCTACCATAGACCTTCACATGCCGTATTGGATTTCTTATATCTTGATAACTTCTGCCTTCGATTGTAAGCTCTGCAAGGGTGGAAATCTGTCTCATTTATAGTTATGAACTCAGCACTCACTGTAGTACCTAACACATTACAAATGATCAATCCATATTTGTTGACTAGAAGCATAAATAAATGAATTGATAGATAAGAACTGGAGTTGTGCAGGATTCAAAGAAGCACAAATGTTGAGACTTTGTACACAGAACAGTCTCATATGATAATGGTGATCAGATGTGGATACTCCAGAAAGTTACTGGTTTGAAGTAAAGATGAGTATGGATTCTTTAATTTTCATATACATATGTATATATAGAGAGAGATACAGTGCTTTCTAAAGTTATTTTTATAATCATATCATAAAAGTACCTCTTTCATGTGCTGTAACAATTAACATTTTCTAATGAAAATAGTTGATATTCTTAACAATAGTTCTGGTTATTAAGTAAATGAAAAATAAGAATATTTTTCTTTTTTTAGGGACATTGAATGGAGACGATGAAAAAAATATCGACAGGTCTTATGTGATGTTGTTTCATATAATTAATGAAAACAATAGCTGGTATAGAGATGAAAATGTTAAAACACTATTGGATTTCTTATATCTTGATAACTTCTGCCTTCGATTGTAAGCTCTGCAAGGGTGGAAATCTGTCTCATTTATAGTTATGAACTCAGCACTCACTGTAGTACCTAACACATTACAAATGATCAATCCATATTTGTTGACTAGAAGCATAAATAAATGAATTGATAGATAAGAACTGGAGTTGTGCAGGATTCAAAGAAGCACAAATGTTGAGACTTTGTACACAGAACAGTCTCATATGATAATGGTGATCAGATGTGGATACTCCAGAAAGTTACTGGTTTGAAGTAAAGATGAGTATGGATTCTTTAATTTTCATATACATATGTATATATAGAGAGAGATACAGTGCTTTCTAAAGTTATTTTTATAATCATATCATAAAAGTACCTCTTTCATGTGCTGTAACAATTAACATTTTCTAATGAAAATAGTTGATATTCTTAACAATAGTTCTGGTTATTAAGTAAATGAAAAATAAGAATATTTTTCTTTTTTTTAGGGACATTGAATGGAGACGATGAAAAAAATATCGACAGGTCTTATGTGATGTTGTTTCATATAATTAATGAAAACAATAGCTGGTATAGAGATGAAAATGTTAAAACACTTAATACTAGTGATCCCGGCTTTGAGGAGAGCATGAAGATGTACTGTAAGATTTTTAAAAAACTTTCTCATTGGTAATATCCTGTAATTCTAATTTCTATGGTCCTATTTACTGATTTTTTTTGTTTGTTTAAGTTTATTTAGTTCATATTTTTTAGTTTTTTACTCAGGTTATACTTGTGGATACGTATGTCATTTAGTAAATCCTTCCTGTTTCATAATTTTTTTTTAACTCCTCAATCTTAGGACCAGCAGGTGGCATGATGGTTATGTTGCTGGACTCCCACATGGCCAACTGCAGTTCAAGTCCTGGACCCAGTGACTTGAAATCATGCTGGATGTGAGACCAGCAGATGGCAAAATGGTGACATTGCTAGACTCCCACATAGCCAACTGCAGTTTGAGTCCTGGACCCGGTGGCTTAAACTCATGCTGGGCACGTGTACTTGCATATCCATGATCCCAAGAGGAGAATGGACAAGAAGGGATTGTAGTGTGGCCGTCCACCCGGGGATTGATTTTTTGTTTTCTGTCTCTGTTTCTCTCTCTGTGTCTTCAGTGAGCACTTGTGCCCTACAGCAAAAATCTCTCTCTTAAAAAAAAAAAAAAAGTTCTCAACCTTTTTATTTTATTTTTGCCCTTTTTTCCCCATGTTATTTGTTTTGTTTATATTTCATCACTGCACATCTTTGCAGCATACAAAAGGCATCTTCCCAGCACGAATACACTGCATACCAGTCTAGCTGAAGACACCATCAAACATATCGTTTCCGAAATTTTATAGCAAGCAAAGTTTGATATACACATTAGTTCTGTAGATTCTGATAGTGATTAACAGTAGATGGTAAAGGGCCAGTCCAGTGGCATGGCAGTAACATGTTGCTCAATGATGCTGGATCTGTAGAGAAGATCATGGGCGTTGTTCCTCAGTCAGTCTGAGCATGCCAGATGTACCTGCCATCCAAAGACGCAACTGACCAAATATTTTATGCAATGTGTTTTTATCCTACAGAATATTTTAGAAAAGATACTTTCATAATTTCAATTATTTTTATTTTTGCTTTCTTCCTTAAAGAATTTAGTTGCTTTTTTTAAAGGAATTATTTTATTTAACTTTATTTATTTATTTTCATTTGACCAGGGAGGGACAGAGCAAGAGAGAGAGAGAGAGAGAGTGAGAGGAAGAGGGTAAGTGAGAAAGCAAGCTGCCAGGTCTGGGATTCAAACCATGGTTGGCCATGTGAGAATCCACCACCGTTAACCACCACATCACCTGCCGGCCCTAAGAACTTAGTTTCTTTGTATTCATCACCCCTCTTCACTACTCCTGCCCTTCCGCTTACTTTTCTGCTTCTTGCACCTAATCCTTTGTGCTCCCTCCCTTCTCTTCTCATGATATGCAATGTGTGCGACTTTGCTTTTTTGTGAAATGCAAATCAAATGTCATAATGTGTGAGATCAATGTGGACACTGTGGTGTTTACATAAAGAGGAAGTGCGTAGAAGTTTTACGATGTGACCTTGCTCTACTGTGCTTTGCAGATTACTATATGTTTGTTTTCAGCGATAAACGGATATATTTATGGAAACCTGCCCAATCTCACCATGTGTGTAGAACACAGGGTCAAATGGTATTTTATTGGCATGGGAGGTGCAGATGACGTGCACTCCATCTATCTCCATGGACAGACTCTGATCTCTCGGAATCACAGAAAGGATACCATCGTGGTCTTCCCTGCCTCCATGGAAGATGCCTTCATGGTGGCCAAGGGACCCGGGGAGTGGATGCTGAGCTGTGAGACACATGGTAGGATTTATTACTTTTATACAGTACAGAGGTAGAGAACAGCCAAGATTACAATCTATTACAAACATCTATTTTATAAATGAAGTACTGATGTCTAGGGAGGTGACATGATTTCTTTTGGAAATGGTCAGTGATGAGGACCAGGCTGGAACTCATGTCCTTGACATTCTTCCCTTGATGGCAAACCCTAAAAGGTATATAGGGTTTTACAAGAAACTTTTATATTCCTTAACCTGTGATCCTTGCAATAATCCTGAGGGTTCCACAGGCTCCCAGAGCTGTGTGAAAATGAACCACACGTGGTTAACTCAATGACCAAATTCAATGATAAAGTGGTTGTCACTGAGAATTTTCAGATTAAAATGTGTATTCACCCACTCTTCCTCTTTACCTTGTTTCAGATGGTATCCTCAAGCCAGGTCTTACTATTTCATCTGAGCAGGAAGACTAGGGTCAACCCCAGACACAGAGAAAAAGATTCTCAAAGCTACCTGGATGGTGGACCATAGCTTTCTGCTGTATTTCTTCTTCTATGTCCCCCTAGGTTTTTGTTTTTTGTTTTCATTTTTAAAATTTATTCAAACCATTCCTTCCTTCCTTCCTTCCTTCCTTCCTTTCTTTCTTTCTTTCTTTCTTTTTTTCTTCTTTCTTTCTCTCTCTTTCTTTCTCTCTTTCTTCTTTTTCTTATTTTTAGTAGTAATTACAACTGTGTTTTGTTTTACATAGGTAGATTGCACCACGTATGTGAATGATAGTCTGCTGCTTGCTTTGTCCTACATCATATTAAAGTCTTTTCCCATGACATTTGCTATATACTTCCTACATTCTTTCTAACTGTTATATAATTTTCCATATTTTTGGTAGTCTCTTATTTAACCATTTGTCTACTGTTAAAATTGTTTCCACTTTTTTTGTTTATTAGCAGTATTATTATATGTCTTTTCATGTATGTGTAAACATTTCTTTTGGCTACTATCAAGAAGTGAAAGTATAGGAGCCAACAGTGTAATGGCTATGTTGCTGGATTCTCATGTAGTTGACCACAGTTCGAGTCCCAGACCCAGTGGCTTAAACACACCGGGCGCTTGTGTGTGTGTGCCCAAGATCCCGAGAGGAGAATGGAAGAGAAGGGATTGTGGCATGGTCATCCCCCTGAAGGGTGATTTCTCACTTTCTGTCTCTCTGTCTCTCTCTGTCTTTCTGGTGAGTGCACGTGCCCTGTAGCAAAAACCTCTCTTAAAAAAAAAAAGAAAGAGAAAAAAAAGTGAAAGTATACAATAAATAAGCTTTTAATTTGAATGAATGTTGCTTTCTAAAATGTCTATACTGACTTGCAATTCTACCAAGAGGGCTCTGAAATCATAGCATGGATTATTGCCCTCATGGAAATATACCTGCCTTGACCTTACTCCAGCCTGCCAAGTAGTTAATCTCATAAACCAAATAACTCTCCTTAGTGACTAGTGGTAATCATTTCAAATCCATGAGGCAAGCTGTTTTGGCCAAATAAACTCTCAACTTCTCTCATAGGCAAATGTTATCTTCATCCAGAAATTGGCCCAATACTGGTTATTAATTATTAAAGGGTTTATTATTAAGTCCTTTGATGTTCATCTCTGTGACCTGATTCTTGTATTTATTTCATGTATTTTAGGTTTTTATATAGCTTCCATAAATAAAATACATCAAATTTATCAAAGAAAGGAAACGTTTTCATGTTGTTTGCTAAAACTAAAAATAGATATGAACTAGAACCAGCAGATGGCATAATGGTTACATTGCTGAACTCCTACATAGTCAACCATGGTTCAAGTCCTGGACCTGATGGCTTAAAACTCATGCCAAGTGCACGTGCATGCGTGCCTAAAATCCTGAAAGGAGAATGGAGGAGAAAGGATTATGGCATGGCCATCTTCCCCGGAGGGAGGGTGATTTCTCACTTTCTCTCTCTCTCTCTCTCTCTGTCTCTCTCTGTCTCTCTGGTGAGTCCATGCACCCTATAGCAAAAACAAAACAAAATAAAACTCTCTCTCTCAAAAATAAAAAATGATAAGAACTAAGAAAAAACCTTTAATATTTTAACAATATTTTCTAATTGAATTTTTTGTTTTTCAGAGAGTATGCAGGCCTTATTCAGCGTAGGGAATTGCCAAAAGCCTTCCACAAATGTTGTCGGGACACGTGTTATTCATTACTATATTGCTGCTCAGGAAGTTCTTTGGAAATATGCTCCATCGGGTGTAAACTTATTCACTCAAACGAATTTAACAGAGCCTGACAGGTAATGATTCACCAGTTAAAATACTTGTGGTTAAATAAAATAACTGAAAATTTCCATCTTCGCTACTTCTGAAAAAGACTTAGGCATCTCATAATTAAAAGAAACTGATAGATGCCAGCAGGTGGTATGGTGGTTAAGGCACTGGATCCCACAAGGCTAACTCTGCAGTTTGAGTCCTGAACCCAGTGACTTGAGAAACATGCCAGGCGAGTGTGCATGTGTACCCAAAATCCCCAGAGGAGAATGAAGGAGGAGGGTTGGCAGCATGGCCCTCCCCCCAGGGGGTGATTTCTCATTTTCCCTCTTTCTACCTTTTTCCAGTGAAGCACAGTTGCCTTATGACAAAACTATAAAACAACAACAAAGATAATAAAGAGAGGAAAATAATGAATAATTGGAAAATATTGATGCTAAGGATCATAGTTACACAAAATTCTTCTCTAAATGGCAGCTAATGTAAAGAAAAGCATACTGCTCATCTTTCTTCTAGCACTCAATTTTTTAAAGAATTTATTTTATACTTATAAGATAATTAACCATATAGTGAACAATGTCAACCAGTAGCAGTTTTACAAAAAAATTAAAAAAAAAATTCTTCATGTGTAACTTATACTCTGCTGCTAAGATCTGAAAGCATAACAAAATAATTTTATGTTATCTCCTTAAATCGTATTCTATAAGTATTATTTGCTCAATAACACCTAAGAATACACTAGCAATTGTTATTTTAATGAACAGAAACTAAGACTAAAATATATTACCAAGGCATCTGCATGTAAAGGTGGACAGAAAGCTTTTCTGATAGTCCAGGTGTTAAGTGCATTTATCAATTTGAAGACTATGGGAAATTTGATTTTTCGTGTCTATTAAATGAAAGTCATATGTCAGAAGAGACTATGGTCTAAAACCCACAAAATATGCGTTCCATGGTATTTACTTTTTTCTAATTCACTCACAGAAAAATTGAGAAAGCTTAGAATATTACAAATGAATGTTTCCTTTTCTTACATTTTAAGCTCAAGACATGTTTCGATCTGTGTCATGTAAACCATGTATTAATTGTCAGAAGGATAGCTGAACTTAAGAGTAAAAATTAGATTCAGCATGACACTCTATTTCATTTTATATTGATTAAAGGAAGTATGAATAGCTCTTTCATTTTGAATTTCTGCGATGTCTTGGCACAGCAGGCTCACCACTGTGCTGTTAGGGAGTACTTTTTTCTCATGGGGTTCCTTTTTTAAAAAAAATCGTAGTAGAAAAGAGCAGAATGATACTTCCTAATATTGGGTCGTTGGGAAAGTCATGCCACATTTTTCCATAGAAAAACAGAAAAATACATGGCAACTTTCCCGATGACTTAATATTATAGCAAATAGTTGTTTTAAAAGCTTTGGGTCGGCAGGTGGTCTGGTGGTTAAGGACGCTAGACTCTCACATGGCTGACTGCAGTTTGAGTCCCAGACTTGGCTTGCTCTCTCACTTTCTCTCTCTGTCCCTCTCTGGTCAAATTTAAATAAATAAATAAAAGTTAAATAAAATAACTGTAAAAATATCAATATTTATTATTACTTACCTGGAAATAATCAAACATAATGTCTTTCTAATTTTTATTACAAAAAATTTGTAGTAAGTGACTAGCTAGATAAACACAGATAATTATACATATATACATAGACAAAAGACTGTAGAAAATATTGACAGTGATTAAAAGAGATGGTGAGAGTATGACGATTTTAATTTTCTTTGTTGTGTCTTTTCTTATTTTTCATCTTTTTTACAATGAGTATGCATTACTTCTATAATCAGAAATAAATCACAATTTTTTTGTTGTTGCTTTGGCTTTTGCATAAGGCACTTGTGCTCACTGGAGAGTTGCAGAGAGACAGAAAAGTGAAAACAATCACCCCTGGGGGGGATACCCAGGCTGCAATGCCCCCTCCTCTATTCTCCTCTCAGGATTTGGGGCATGCATGCACATGCATATGCACGTGGCATGATTTTCAAGTCACCGGGTCCAGGACTTGAAACTTGAAGCCAGCCTCTGTGTCCCCTGCTGGCCTAAATTATAAATATTTTTAAAACATATGTAGGTGGGTATTTGCTTTATTTTCACATGATCGCCATAAATATGAAAGTTCCGCGTGTATCTGCTCTCTCTGCACAGCATTTCCCAGACATATTTTGAACAAGGTCCTACTAGAATTGGAGGAGATTATGCAAAACTAGTTTTCCGTGGATACACAGATGCTTCCTTCCAAACACTAAAGGAAAGAGAAGAACACTTGGGAGTCCTTGGTAAATTGTATTCATATCTTGCAAGATTATAAATACCATTTATATATATTCCACATAGCTAAAGCAGTATTCGCCAACTCATACTTTGAAAGATTTTAGTTATACTCTTATAACCTTATGAAAACAATACATGGATTGACCAAGTAATTTTAACTACATTCTTTTGTCTCTGTAAATCCAATGTGATGAGTGTTTTCATATGATCCAAAGTGAGTTTATAAGACCTTGAATCATCTAGAACTCGTATACTTATGCTTGTTTCTGGTTGGGTGTATCTAAATTTCTTCTTAAAAGAACCTTACCCGAGGAATGCAACCTGACAATCACTTTGATGGAAACCCAGGGACTAACTACTCACTCTGCTGGTTTCTAGGCCCTGTCATTTGGGCAGAGGTAGGATGGGTCATCGTGGTCACTTTCTATAACAATGCTACCATGCCACTCAGCATTCAGCCTCATGGACTGCAGTACAACAAAAGCAATGAAGGCTCCTTCTACAGAACCCGTGACGGAGGTAAATACAGCACAGCGGAGGGCCCCAGAGAGCCAAGTACTACCATCTAATGTCAGACCCCGAATAAAACTCTTTCTAAAATTGACATGCTATGTTTTTCATAGCAGCTCTGTATAACTAGTATGACAGTTATTCTTTCAGTCCCCATTCAACTATCACCCAAGGTGCTACAAGGTGAGCAAGGTACACCCTTTGCTCTCAGAGACCTCACAGCCTAGACTAAGGTACTTACGATTTGAAGTTCTATTTTAAAAATGTTTATTCCTTGCTAGGTACGCCTCCACCTTCTTCACATGTAAATCCCAACACGACCTTTGTTTATACATGGGAAGTTCCAGAAAGTGTGGGTCCTACCTCCACGGATCCCGACTGCTTGACTCGGCTCTACTACTCCTCGGTAAATGATAGGAAAGACATCAACAGTGGCCTTGTCGGGCCCCTGCTCGTGTGCAGAAGCGGAAGTCTTGGAGAGGATGGCAAACAGGTGAGTCACGAGACCTACACCCGGGAATGCCTGGGCCAGAGGCTGCCGAAGACAGCACTGTAGAAAAACGGCCATGCCCAGGCCCACAGGAACCAGCAGCTTCCCTTTCTGTGTGCTGATCTCTCCCAGTTCTATTTTCTCCTAAACCTGGGTCTGTGTCTTCCTCTCCTGGATGAACACCCATCTTGGCACGTCCCACAAATGTCTCCAATTATTTTAACCTTTCGTCTCCTTCTGGATAGCCACTTACCATCCCTTCCTCCTCGGAGTCAGCCTCTTTTTCCCAAATCTGGCTCTTGGTTGATGACTCCACCAAACCTGAAATATCCGTCACCAACCCCTTTGTACCTGACGGTGATCACCACAGTGCTAATACTACTGCCCTGTTTTAGGAACCATCATCTCTTCCTGGATTCCTTTCACTGCCTACCTCCTGCCCCGACTGCCATGTAATATGGCCACATCCCGCCCTGTCAACTGTGACTATATCACTCATGCCCCACAATAAAAATCACCCCACGGTTGGTTGTCTCAGAAGCCAGCACATCGCACTGTGGCAAATCTCCCAGGATGTCCCCTTTCCCTATCCCATAATGCAGAATTGGCTTGTTCTGACTGGCAGGATTAGCTTGTGAGGAAGGCGCTCAATAACATCTCTGATTTTCCTCTCTTCCTTATATTTAGAATGACCTTCCCTCATTATTTTATTGGCCAAAAGGGGACTCTTTTTTTTTTTAAAGTTTTTGCCTTAGGGTGCACAAGCACGCACGCGCGCGTGCAAGAGAGAGAGAGAGAGAGGATGGGCACACCACAATCCCTTCTCTTCCATTCCCCTCCCAGGATCTTAGACATGCATGCACACGTGCTTGGTGTGAGTTTCAAGTCACCAGGTCTGAGACATGAACCATGGTCAATCATGTGGGAGTCCAGTAACATAACCACTATGCCATCTCCTGACTCCAGGAGACCCATTTTTAAAACTCAGTCTGAGGAGTCGTTCCTTTGAGCAATATTCCCTACCTAAAGTTAGTGGAAGTTCTTGCAGATTACCATCATTCCTCATGCATTTTTTTTTATTAAAATGCTTACCTATATCATTATTTTTACTGGCCTGCCTCAAGTTCCTTGAAAGCATATACAAGGTTTTATTAATTTTTTTGTAACAACCACAATCCCTCTCTGGCATAACAACCACAATTCGTTCCCCTCGCCCGGCATATTGAGTAGTTGCTCAATAAATGTGAAAATAAGTTTCTCTTTATTCTCACTCATAGATGACTAATATCCAAGTTGTTTTTTGCACTGATATTAAAAATTCATGTAAGAAAACCTTATAAAGCTATAAATATATGTTTAATCAAATGTTTATTTTATACCAAAGTGTGACTATATATTTGCATTCATCTATATAATAAGTATTATGTAGTCTCATCATTCTTAGAGTGCATATATTTTTATGTTTTATTTTAAATGATAAATAATGTATATATTTAGCTTATTTATAAACACTAAAACTCAGACTTTCTAGAATAGAAAATACTTCATTTAACTTATTTTTCACAGAGCATTATATGTGAGAAGCCGCTATCATCACCTGGGATTATATAGATTAGCTTTATGAAGTTTAGTTGTAAGGTTCCCTAGAATAAAAGCTTTATATGAAAAAAGCTATAGAGCTTTATCGCCACTTCTTAGTTCTATGATAAGCCATACACTAGGATTTTTACCTTTCCAGGAAATGTTCACAGTCAGGAATTCAATTAATTCAATTTAATTTTTAGGCAGATCAACTACTTAACTAGATTTTTAATATGGACTGGTTATTTTTCATGTCTATTCCTTTTTCTATTTTCATCCACAGAAAGGAGTAGACAAAGAATTTTTCCTGCTTGCCACAATATTTGATGAAAACGAAAGTTACCTTTTGGATAAAAATATCAGACTATTTACTACCAACCCTGAAGAAGTGAGAAAAGAAAATGAAGACTTCCAAGAATCTAACAGGATGTCCTGTAAGGGGAAAACTGAACTTGAAACATAAATACATTAAACAATTATTTAATGTCTTTTGCTCTAAAGAATTATAGATGAAGAGACTTACACTTTCCTGCCATGGTTGGATAATACATTTCATGTTTCCTTTAAAATAATTTTCCAGTACAAATATTGTCTACTATTGGGTCGTCAGAAACGTCATGACTCATTTTTGCCTTAAAAAAATAGAAAAATACGTCATGACTTTTTTGATGACCCAATAGAATGGTTATCTTGAATTTAATCTATCAGATATGTATCAACACCTTCTTATTGTAATACATTGTTGTATTTATTGCTAACTGTAAAACAGAAAAGTCAGGTATCCCTGTATTGCAAATTTTGTAGAGTAGGGGTATTTATTGAGGTGATGGACAGGCAGGTGGTTGGCGGGCTAGTTGGTTTTGAAGATTATACAGCAGAGTGGGGGAAACGGTCTAGAATCTGGAGACTTGGACTCTGGCATTAACGTTCAGTTCATTAACTGAATGATGTTGGAGAAGTCTCTGGCTCTCTGGCCTTGGTTTCCTCAACTCTATAGCAAAGGGTTTGACTTGGGTGTTATCGTCAAAGAATCATCTATTGATAGCTCTTCCATTCGCTAAGTCTGTAATGTCATCATAGCTCTTTGTGAAGTGATTAAGTAACAATAGAGAAAGGGAAAGTTGTAAATAATTTATTTACAATTTTTTCATGAATTAAGTGCTTTATGATTACTGTTGTCTTGACTTTCAAAATATATCAAGGAAATAAAATATTCTTTCCCTTGCCACAATGTCTTGCAGCCATTAATGGATACATGTATGGAAATCTACCAGGATTGGATATGTGCTTGGGAGACACCGTTTCATGGCATGTTCTCAGTGTAGGATCACAGAAAGATTTGCATGGGATTTATTTTTCAGGAAATACCTTCGTTTCCTTAGGATCAAGGAAGGACATTGCAACTGTGTTTCCCCATGTCTCTGAGACGCTTCTAATGACACCTGATACCACAGGTGAGTGGTGGATGTGCTCCTTCAGCCTGAAAGTATGGAGAGGGACTGCCTTCATATATACTAAATATTCTCTTTGTGCAGGATACAAACAGTGCCCTGCTACACTTTAATTTTTAGAGTCTTTTCTTTTTTTTTGAGAGGTTTCTGCTATAGGGCGCGTGCGCTCACCAGAGAGACAGAGAGACAGAAAGCGAGAAATCACCCCACAGGGGGGAATGGCCATGCCGCAGTCCCTTCTCCTCCATTCTCCTCTTGGGATTTTGGGCACGCATGCACACGCACCCGTCGTGTTTAAGCTTTCAGGACCAGGACTCGAACCGCAGTCTCTCTCTATCTGTCTGGTGAGCGCACGCGCCCTATAGTGAAAATCTCTCCAAAAAGAAAAATACGCCATGACTTTTCTGATGACCTAATGTTTTGTTCACTGACATTTACCAAATGCTTAGAAATACGTCTGGCACACAGAGGTTACCCAACAAATATCTGTTGATTTCACGAACGAATGCATGAACGATCTTACTATATCTCTTTGGGGCGTTACCTCTTATAGGTGATTTTGTGGAGGAAAGAAAGCTAAACCCAAAGCTTTACATATGTCTTTTTGATTTCTCTCCAGGAGATTTTAATGTGGTGTGCATGACAACTGAGCACTACCTAGGAGGCATGAAACATATGTACCACGTGAAGCAGTGCCCCAAGTCGGACTCTGATCAAACAACCTACCGGGAGGAGAAAACTTTCTACATTGCAGCTGAGGAAATCGTGTGGGATTTTGTTCCTAGCAGGAATTGGCAAAAAGAACTGAGCCACTTACAAAGAGAGAAGTACAGTGATAGCTCCAGTCTCTAACTGCCAAGGGTTCATTTGCAGTTCATTGCAAAGGGTCTTCCCCTTTCTTCTCCCCCTGTCCTGTCAGTCTGTGTGTGTTGGGGGCAGGGTGTGGAGGGGGAAGTAGGGTCCATTCAGATATAAAGTACTTTCAAAATGTATGTGTGCTTGATGTGTATGTGGGATGTGTTTACTTGTGCTTAGTATGATTGCATATGTGTAATGAGTACGTGGTTGTGATATGGGTGTTTAGTATACTTTCTAAATATCTTCTCTGTGTGTGTGTGTGTGTGTGTGTAACATATTGAAGTGCAAATGACTTCAAATCTTTCTAAATATCTACATACTTCTTTCCTTTATCGTTTTCTGACTTTTAAAAATAATGCTTCTTGTATTCTTTTTTCCCGTTTTTATGCCATTCATTTGATTTCACCACAAGAATAATAATCATAACTCCAGCTACATTTGATATTTGGAATCAGATTTTTTTCATTTATCTTCATTTATTTCTGGTTAATCTTCTGGGAACTTCAAATGAAAACACTAGTTTTACTCTTTTTGTATCATTTTATTTCTTTCACTGGATTTCTCTCTCTTTATTCACTCATCGAAACTAAAACTCTCATTCCGAAAATAGGCTTTCCCATACAGAATGAAAATACAACCATCTTACACAAATAAATTTTTCAAAAAGAAAAATGACTAAGATAAAAACAGCCTCTAGTACAGAAGACAATCTTCCATATAAGTACTTTGTCTAATTTAATAACCATGCTTTTTGTTTTTATTTTCATTTCCTTAAAGCGCATCAAACTTATATTTGGAATACCTTGGGACAAAATATAAGAAAGTTGTATATCGTCAGTATGATGATTCCACATTCACAAATCAAACAAAAAGAAATGAAAGTGACAAACATCTGGATATACTAGGTATCGATACACTTCAGACTGACGTGGGGTTTTTCTTTTTCTCCTCAGCCTTTTAGAGATTACTATACACATGGGAGGTATCGTCAGCCTCCGTCTTGACAGAGAAAAGTGTCTATAATTCCAATTTGTTTGCTGACAGGCATTTTTAAGAATCGGCTTAATTATTGTTTTCTGAAAACTAATGAAACTGTAGGAAATGAATGTGGTCAGTTTCAGACAATCTGGTTTCTTGCCATCAGAATTCAAGAATTCTAAATCTGTAAGAAACCTTAGCAGCAGTAATTAGATATCATTTCATGAAATTAAAACAAAGCCCAGGGAACTTTAATACAGTGAGGGGAAGAACTCTGTTTAAATTTGAAAATCTTCCCTCATCTTCTGTCCAAGAGTGAGGAAAATTAAAATGTTTTCCTCTATCCTTGATAAACCTACCAGAAAACCTGTAAGTTACTCCCAGGTATTACAGGTAATAGTTCTGGAAGTCACACTGCATTATCACAGGCCACACGGCATTTCCATAGGTCATGTGACATTCCCATAGGTCACATGACATTTCTGCGGGTCACACAGCATTTCTGTAGGCCATGTGACATATCCAGAAGTCTCGTGGCATTTCCAGATGCCCAATTCTTGTTGGAGTCCTTACGTCCACTTCCTCATGTGGGATCCTGATAGGATGACTTCGCATGACGAGGAAGAAGTTTTGCTTTTCTTGGCTCCATATGGGCCTCTAGCACTTCTCCCTTTGTGACCTCTGGAAGGAGGCTGTGTGATTCAGTTCTCACTGTTTTTGAGTGGGAACCTTTCTTTAGCAATAGCAAGATGTTTGTTTTCCGTAGATTCTGACAGAAGACACAAAGATACAATAAATAACACAATATGACCCCCCAGGTTCTGTCATTATATACAAAAAAGAAAACACTCAATGGGCAAATAAATATGAGTATGGTGTTTGTAAAAGTGGAACTGCCATGGGGAGCCAGCTTTTAACATCTCCCCGCCTCTTGCGTACTACCAGGGCTCTGCTTTTAGTCCTCACAACTCAGCTTTGAGGAAAGTTCTTACTGTTTACTTTATCTCAAAAACATCCATTCTAGAATGTTTAGAACTACCAATTCAATCTGTTTCAAAGTATATAGAAGATTTAAAATACATTATATATCTACAGTTCATGGTGTGGGATGGAAGGGGGAGAGAGTACATGAAGGGGCCTTTGGTCTGTGAGAGAGAAAACTATCCTGGGCCAATAAACAGGCCTCACAGTGCCTCCCAATTCTCCACTAGGGTGAAGGGACAAGAGAACAAAAGTCTTTAAAGATGAGGCTGGTCAAGAAAGAAATTAAAGTTTCCATTCTTAAGTGGGGTGTTTTCCTATGCATTAACTGTTGTTTAGTTTTCTAGAGAAGGAGCTTATTAAAATTTTACATGATTTAAATGTTCTCAGGTAAATATCGCATTTAGTAAATCAGCAATGATCTACTTGTTTCATTTGACTGTGTGTTAAGCGAAAGAATAAGTCACTGTACAAATAATTAAGAGGACAGTTGACTCATAGTTGAAAATAAATAACAATTACTCACATATTTTCCTGTTCGTATTCCGTAGGTCCATTAATATTTGCCAACCCAGGTCAAATACTCAAAATAGTCTTTAAAAATAATGCCTCACGACCATATTCTATTCATGCTCATGGAGTGAAAACAGACTCTTCCACTGTTGTTCCAACTCCGCCAGGTAAGTGTTTGGAGGAAAGGAAAATCCCCAAAGCTTTCATGCAGGACTATGAGGGCAAATGTTCTTTCTTAAATATGGATGCAGTTCCAGACAGGCAAGACCAGTGGACCAATAATAAGATGCTCAAGGAAAGAGTTTTGAAGGAGTGTTCCTTTTTGCAAGCAGCATTTGCTTCTAAATTGGGGTGGCATGGGCAAAACTGTGATGAGAATATTTGGTCTTTGGGGCCCACTGCACAGTGTCTGCAATTTCTCCTCTAGACTCACGTTCACTCCCACCTCCCTACCTGTCCAGCTGTCCTTGAATTGATTGTAACTCAATCTCTCCAAATCAAATGCTAGAATAGGAGTTGCCTACACAAGGCAGTTTAGTGTGAGAGGCAGGAGCAGGGTAGAGAACCGAGCTGAAAAGAGGCGGTCATAATCCCTGTATATTAACATTTCTATGGCATCACCACTGTACAGCATGCCATTCGGCATACTCAATTCAGAAGAAAATGAACATTTTTAAATAAAAATACCCAGGAAAAATACTCAAAATAGAGCCAGCATGTGGTGTGGAGGTTAAGTCAGCAGGA